GGGGCTGGGAAGGTGGCTCAGTGGTAGAGCGCTTGCCTTGCATGCCTGAGGCCCTGGGTTCGATTCCTCAGCACCACATAAGAAAAAAGAAAAAAGCCGGAAGTGGTGCTGTGGCTCAAGTGGTAGAGCGCTAGCCTTGAGCTGAAGAGCTGAGGGACAGTGCCCAGGCCCAGATTTCAGGCCCCACAACCGGACCCCCCCCCCCCAAAAAAACAAAAAAACAAAAAAAAAAACAAAGTCACTAACCAAGGAAAAGAGCAAAAAGTAGAAGTGACTATGAATGCATTTTTCTTTTTTTCTTTTTTTTTGGTTGGTCGTGGGGCCTGAACTGTGGGCCTGGGCGCTGGCCCTCAGCTTTTCAGCTCAAGGCTAGCGCTCTACCACTTGAGCCACAGTGCCACTTCCGGCTTTTTCTGCTTATGTGGTGCTGAGGAATCGAACCCAAGGCCTCATATGTGCAAGGAAAGCACTCTACAACTGAGCCACCTTTCCAGCACCACCCATTTTTCTTTCACACCATCATGAACTTGAAAATCACTAAGTCAAACCATCCTCAGTCAGAAATGGTATATCCAAACCATCTGTATATCCAAAATCTAGAATGCTATATAGTCGTTAAAATGGACAAGATATAAATGGATTAAAAAAAATAATAAGGGTAAGTACACTGTGTTTAGTGTGTTGCCTTCTCTATAAAATGTTATTTATTTATATTTTGCTAGTTGTGGGGCTGGAACTCACCATCTCAGTGCTGTCTCTGAGCTCTTTCACTCAGGGTTAGAGCTCTACCAATTTGAGCCACAGTGCCACTTCCAGTTTTCTGGTGGTTAATTGGAGATAAAAGTCTCATGGATTTTCCTGCAATGGGCTGCCTTTGAACCTGGATCCTCAGATCTCAGCCTCTTGAGTGGCTAGGATTATAGTTGTGAGCCACTGGCCCCTGGCTTATATAAAATTTTAAAGCTTAAGTCCATATTTAGGATTGCTTAGACTTTCTAGACAGGTACACGAGTCAGATAACAGGTAGGCCAGTCTGTGGAAGAGGAAATGGGCAATCATTGACCTTTCTGTACCTTTTGAATATTGTACCATGTCTATATGATGTATTCAAAAAATAAAATGATTTAAAAAATATCTTTGATCTTCTCATTTCCTGGAGACTCCACGACATTTGTCTTCGAACCAATTTCCTGCCAACAAGACTAAATTGGAGAAACATTCGAGCACGATGTGCCTGGTAACCTTCGCCAGACAAAGACCCCTTCAGAGGGACATTTACTCTGTAGAGGAAGGAGGCAGAGGTCTCATCACCTCCTTCCTATCAGCTGTCTCCCTCCCCGTCTTCATCCCTTTGTTCCTAGAGGCTCTTGCTCTCTGTTTCTCTCTCTCCCCCGCCTCTCACACCAGGGCTCGAACTTAGGGCCTTGTGCTGTCACATTACTTTCTTTGCTCCAGGCTGGAACTCTACCACTTAAGTCATAACTCCACTTTCAGCTTTGTGGTGATTAGTTGAAGGTAAGAGTCTCTTGTTTTTGTCCTCCTGGGATGGCTTTGAACCTTGAACCTCAGATCTCTGACTCCTGAGTAGCTAGGATTACAGGTGTGAGCCACCAGTGCCTGGCTCTTTTATGGACTGCCTTACTTAGGATCTTTGAGGCCTAGCCTGGATCCCAAGCCAGCCTGGGAGAGCTAGAACCTCTTTTTTCCCCTGGGGCCTCTTGAATTGTGGTCTTCAGGGACGCAGCACCTACCTGGTGTCCTGCTTGCACTTGAAAGTGAACACCATACCACACCCCTGGCTGGGAATCAGTAGAGGCTCCACTGTTGGCCCATACACAGCCCCAGATCCCCTGCCTGCCACACAAGGCTCGGGGCCTTCCTGTCCTGCCTTGCTTCCAGCCGCATAGATGGTGCCTCACTGTTCCCATGTAATTTTCCAGCTCCTTACCTCTGTTCAGGCGGTTCCCTCAGCCTTTTCCTTTACATGCTGTTTCCACAGCCTGTGACCCTGACCAGACTGCTTGTTCCCAAACACAGCCTATTAGCTCCCTGCCTTGTGTTCCCCTCTGTAAAGAAGCACACCTCCTGTTCACTTGTCTCTCTGAGCTCTCAGAGACCTATGTGACCTCATTTATGTTTGTGTATCCTTACTGGGCTCCAGGAATCGAAGACAATAAAAAGTTAGGGAGAGCCGGGCACTGGTGGCTCATGCCTGTAATCCTAGCCATTCAGGAGGCTGAGATATGAGGATCGAGGTTCAAAGGCAGCCTAGGCAGGAAAGTCTGTGAGACTCTTATCTCCAATAAACCACCAGAAAACTGGAAGTGGCGCTGTGGCTCAAGTGGTAGAGTACTCGCCTTGAACTGAAGAGCTGAGGGACAGCGCCCAGGCCCAGAGTTCAAGCCCCACTACTAACCAAAAAAGAAAAAGAAAAGAAAAGGAAAGAAAAAGAAAAAAATGTTAGGGAGTAAATAATGAACGAGTGGACAAAGAAGCATGGAAACAAAACGATAATGAGTGGCTGAATGAACACTTCAGGAAGGACCTGTTTCTCATAGAACAGACAACTCTCCTCCTCCAAAATCCAGTCACCTGGAGTTTGACCTTCTTTTGGTACTGGACTTGAACTCAGGGCCTAATGCTCTCACTTAGCCTGCTTGCTCGCTTTCTTTTGTTTAAATTTTTTTACTGTTGTTAAAAAGTGATATACAGAGGGGTTACATAAATTAGGTAAAGATTATATTTCTTTTTGGACAATGTCACCCCTCAGTCCCCGGTTTCTCTTTCTCATTTTCTTTCTTCTTCCTCCCTCCCTTCCTTCCTTCCTTCCTTCCTTCCTTCCTTCCTTCCTTCCTTCCTTCCTTCCTTCCTTCTCTCTCTCTCTTTCTCTCTCTCTCTCTCTCTCTCTCGATTGCTTGCTTGCTTGCTTTCTCTCTTGCTTGCTTGCTCTCTGGTCAAGGCTGGCACTTTACCACTTGAGCCACACCTCTACTTTTAGCATTTTAGTAATTGACTGGAAATAGGACTCATGGGCTTTCCCACCTGGACTGACTTCGAATCCTGAACCTTAGCTCTCAGTCTCTTGAGTAGCTAGGGTTGCAGGTGTGAGCCACTAGCGTCCACCTGAGCTCAAGCTTCTTAATGAGGAAACAAGGAGTGAGAATGTCGCAGATGACAAGCCAGCCATCAGGGAGGGGCTTTGGTCAGAAGCCTGGGGATTGTGACCTGGATTCTTTGGAGAGTCCCAAGTGCAGAAATAAATAAACACTGAGGATGGAAGTGAAGTTGACCTATGGGTGGGTTCAGGGCTGTGAATTCTTGGTCTTTTCTGGCAGTGAGGAAACTCTACTGGCAGGAAGGAGGCAAGCTAGCTTTGGTGGGAAGGGCATATCAAGCAGGAGTCAAATTATATAGAGGAGGAAACTGAACCCTCAAGTTCTTCCTCAGCAACACAGACTAACCAGAGATCAATGGAACAAAAACAAAAGCCTCTACTCAACCCTCCACTCTCCAGACTAGATCTGTATCCAGACTACATCTCTGAAGGGAAACATGTACAATATGCATCTGTATACCAACACTCTGTGTACAGCCTGAAACTTAATTATCTGTGAGGCTGCATGGATTCATGGATGGCTGGATAGACAGATATATTGGTGAATAGGTAAATGAATGAATGGTAAAGAGGAAGATGGGTAGACAGGTAGATGGATGGATAGGGCATGGGTGAACAGGTAGATAGATGATGGTAGACATGTGGGTGAATGGATAGGTAAAAGACTGGATGGTAGATGAGCTGATGAGTAGATAGGTGGATGTGTAGATTGGTAGATAAGTGGATGGTTGGCAGGTAGAAGGATAATAATTACATGGATGAATAATTACATGGTATTCATGGTAATCCACATGGGTGGATGGCGGATGTGTTTGAGTGGATAATCGGATGGATAGATAAGTGAATGGATGAAAAAGTGAATGGGTTGGCAGGTGGATGGGTGAATATCTACACAGATTTGTGAGTGAGTGGATGGTAGCTGTGCAAATGGGTACAGCAGATGGGTGCACAGATGGATAAATGGATAGATGGACGGACCAATGAATGACCAGATGGTTAGGTGAATAAAGAGTCAATAGACATGAAAACAGGTATTGATGGGTTGCCAGCAGATGGATGGGTGGCTGTGTGGACATATAGATGGCTAGATAGACATGTACATAATCAGATGGGAAAGTGGATGACCTAACAGATAAATGGACAAATAAATGAGTATAGGGTAAACAAATGTGGTTAGATGAAGAGACAACCAGAGAGACATAGATGGATGGGAAAATAGATGAATGGATGGACATACAAGAAAGGTTTGTACACTAGGAAGACTAGAATGGTACTGAAGCGTTGGCAAGAGATGGGGAAACTGAGGAATCTGGGCTGGGAACAGAGCTTCTAAGGATATGGAAGCAGCTGTGGTGCTCAGGAAGCTGGAGGGGAAGGTGTAAGCTACAGGACCCTTCCCTAGTAGCGAGGAAGCTCACTGAAAAGACAGAAGAAGGAAGCAAAACAGCACTAGGCTCAAGGGTAGGCGAGTTCAAGAGTCCAGCCTAGGTAGACCCTTGCAGGTGTCTAGGGTTTAAGGAAGAGTAAGTCCTGGCAGTCCTCAGATTCGAGACCTCAACCATCCAGGCTTAGCCTATCACATAGATGCGCCAAGAAGATGGCTATTGGGCACACTGGGGTCTCAGAAGAAGTGGGCATTGTTCGGCAAGGGATTCAAGGGCCTTGGCAGAGCTCAGGCTAAGGGGCAGCAGAGGCCTCTCAGTGGTATCGTGTGACTTTCTCCCTCCCGTCTCTCTCCCAGCCCCAGCTTCCTCTGGGCAGGGGGCCTGGCCCCCATGGCCTCCCAGGCCAGCCCCTTGAGAACCACCTGCCCCAGCCGGCCAGAGACTTCCTGTAGCGCAAGAGATTTATGCAAACGGGCTGGGGCAGTGATGTCACCCCAAGGGGACTATCTCCTAGTGGCAGGCCCTTCGATAAAATCAGGAACTTGCGCTGGCCCTGCAATGTCAAGGGAGGGGGCTCACCCAGGGCTCCTGTAGCTCAGGGGGCAGCCCTGAGCCCTGCGTTCACCCCACCACTGGCCAGCTCCCCCTCCCCGCAACGGGGCACCCCTGGCCCCATCCTGAGGGGCTCCGAACTGGCTCCCACCGAGGCAGGGGATCTGACTGGCTTGGAGTTCGGCTGGATGTTACAGGCGTGCAAAATGGAAGGGTTTCCCCTCGTCCCCCCTGTGAGTACTGGGGCTACTCCACTAGCTAACTCAGGCCTGGGGGTGCCGGCTGCCCACGAACCCTCCAGCCCACCCGCTAGCCTCCAGCTTGCTATCAGTGGGAAGTTGGTGTTTCCTCTCGGAGCTCCTGGCCCGAGACCCAACGAGCAAGGGGGCCATTGGCTTCCTCAGAGCATGCCCTGCCTGGCTGGCTGAGGGCTGCCGGCTGGGCCCATGGCGGGGCTGTGATCGTTGGGGCCTGAACAGTTATTTATAGATGGGTGAGGGTGGCAGGTGGGAGCCCAGGGCGCAGTGCTGGGCTGAGGCTGGTGTGGTAAGGGCTCTGAGAGTGCGCGCTGGGGGAGATGGGGAGACAGGCTTGGGTGCGGAGGCCAGTCCTCAGGTCAGGAAGAGTTGAGGGTAGAGGCAACAGGCTGAGCGGTTTCAGCCTCTGGCCTGGGATTGTCTTGGAGACTCAGGCTGATGGAAGTCTAGGTCTTCGATGGCCAGCCTGAGGCCTGGCACAGAGGACTGGTTTTTGATCCGAAGCATCTGGGCCTAGACATCTTATAGTCCCTGAGAGGCTGGGTGGGGGCCGGGGCTGGACTGAGAGCTTGGAGGCACACCAGGCAGGAGCCAGACACAAGGTAATTATTAGGCTGAGGAATCAGGGAGAAACGAGGCAGTGGCTGGGCCTGAGGTTGGGACTGGGATAGGACCTGGGGTCGGATGGATAGGGACCAAATCTGGGGGTGAAGATGCAGGAGTCCCAGGGGTCCCTTGAGAAGGGCAGGGCAGCAGGTGGGGCCGATCTCCAGTGGTCCCTGCTCTGGATGACAGTTGCAGCCTGAGACAGGTGTTAGGCCGGAGTCCCCTGGAGAGGACCCTCTGCCCAACCCCCAGAGGACAGGGGGTAGGGAGGCGGGGGGTGGGGGAGGGGGCGTGGAAGGGCTTGGCAGGGCCTGCCCACCTGACTCAGCTCCTCTCTACTCCACCTCAGCTCCGCTCCCAGCTTTGGGAGGCACCCCAGGTCTGACATCACAGCCAGTGTCCTGCAGTAGGCTGACTGCACTGTCTGGAAACCTGGGGTCTAGTGTGTGTGTGTGTGGGGGGTGGAGCTCAGTGCCCACCTCTACCAGGAACCCTGTTTCCCATCAGAGGGCAGGAAGCTAGCTGGCTTTGTCCCCAGGAAAGCTACAGGCCCTGCAGCATGCCTACACCATCTTTGCTCCTTCACTGCTCAGTCTGGAGCTCCAGACAGGGCAGGGAAAGGGGCTGATATTGGGCTTTTACCCCAGGGCCCCCAACCCTCTGTTTAACCCCAAGTGTCACTCTCAGTGTCTCCTGGGAGGGTGGGCCTCAGTGCCTTGTGCAATCCTTGGGCAAATCACGGGGGCGGGGAGAGGCCCGGTGACTGTTGGGAAGACTCCGGATGTGTGCGTCCAGGCGCCCAGGCTAGTCATCAGGGGTGAAGGGAGGAGGACAGGGCAGAGGGAGGCAGAAGGAGGGGGAGCGAAGGGGAGCAGGAGGACAGGCAGGGAGAGAGGAGGAGGAGGAGGGAAAAGGAATAGAAGGACAGGGGACAGAGGAGGGAGAGGAAGAGGGGCAGAGGAAGGTATGGGAAGAGTAAGAAGGAGAGGGAGGGAGGAGGGAAAAGAGGAGAGGGGGGGGAGGAAGGAAGGGCAAAGGGTATTCCAGTGGGGGCATTGGAGAGACGAGAATGAGTGAAAGATCAAGGACCTGTGTCCCTTGGCCCCAAAACTTGCCTGGCTGACCTCCGTCAAGCCATCTGCGAGGGCCATGGTGGTGGTCCTGTGCTTGGGGGCAGCTGGCACAGGCTGAGGGAGAGGGAGGGGAGGCTGGGCAGGTTGGGGCAGGACACCAGGGTGCTGCACAGACACACAGTGGCATGTGGGCGGCTCTGTGCAAGGCTGTGGTGTGAACACTCGAAGGCCTCAATACAGTGTGTGCATGCGTGTGTCAACCCACGTAACTGCATGTGGTTGCGAGGATGAGTGTATGATGGGGTGTGTGTGTGTTTGCGTGTGAGTAGGTTTATGGCAGTGTGAGCCTGCGCACACAGGGCGTGGGCATGGGGACAATAGTTAGAGGACATAAATCCCCCCCTCGCTTGGGGAATGTCACAGGGAGCGTGCGTACATCGGGGGAGGGACTGCCTTGGTATGCACGCGTGTGAACAGGGTGGTGGGGGGCTGTGGGGAACAGACAGGCAGGGGAAGGGGCTGTGCCCTCTTTATTTAACCTTTAACCTCTGTACCCTATTGTTAAGCTCTTCTGGTACCCCGTCTCACCTCCCTGGGGCCCTGATCTCTTCCACTCCAAGCTGGGGGAGGGTTGCAGGCCCAAGGTCTGTCTCCATCAGGAAGGGTGGGGTGGAGCCCTACACAGCAGGGCTGCAAGTCAGGCTGGGGTTCTCCCCCACAACCCAGGCCCTGACAACTCTCCTCTCTCAACAGCCGTCGGAAGATCTGGTTCCTTATGACACGGATCTGTACCAACGCCCGGCTCACGAATACTACCCCTATCTCAGCAGCGATGGAGAAAGCCACAGTGGTGTGTACAGGGCGGGCTGTCCCCTCTTCCCCGGGGGAGGCCAGGGGCTGGAGAGGGAGCAAGAAGCAGCTCCCAGAGCTTCTGGGCCTCAGATGGAGTTAGTGAGGTTAGGGTAAGGGCAATGAGCGTCCTGGTCCCTATGTGCATTCCAGCCCCCCATTCCTGAGCATCTCCCCGTGCCAAAGGCACGATTGGCTCCTCCCACTTTTCACTTGTCCAGTGTTTGAGGACCTTTTTTTTGGTCATGGGTCTTGAACTCTGGGCCTAGGCACTCTCCCGCAGCTCTTCAGCTCAAGGCTAGCACTCTACCACTTGAACTACAGCACCACTTCTGTTTTCTGGTGGTTAATTGGAGATAAGAGTCTCACAGACTTTCCTGCCCCGGCTGGCTTTGAATAGTGATCCTCAGATCTCAGCGTCCTGAGTAGCTAGGATTACAGGGGTGAGCCACCAGCGCCGGGCTTTGATGAACATTTTCATAGACAAGGACACCAAGGCTTAAGGAGCTGAGTGACTGTTCAGGGCCTTATGCTTGGTTTGAGGAACCCAAATTGGTTTGTCTGCTCCTTGTCTGGTGCTTTTTCCTCTGCTCTCCCACTCCTCCACTTTTCTGGCCCTGCCTCCTCTCTGTTCTTCACCCCGTTCATCTTGAACTCCCCCTGGTGCATGCCCACTCCCTGCTGAGTGTCACGCAGCTGGGCAGCATCCCCTGCCTCTTTCACCAGATGCCAGCAGCACCACCCAACAGGACAACCTGAATCTCTCCATACACTATGGCTGAATTTCCCTGGGGAGTAAAATGCGCCGCCCCCTTCCCTCAGTTGAGATCTTCTGGCCAATGGCAAGTCTCCAATGACTCTAACTGAGCTGAAGTCCCAAGTTTGCTTGTAGGAAGAGGCCTGGGCCAGGGGATCTAACTGACCAGACCAAGGCCTAGCCTGTGTCTTAGAAAAGACAGGCACTCGGTGCCTAGAACCTGGGCAGGGGTCATGACAGGTCCCCACGAAGCAGATCTTGACATGTTGCCTTAGATATCCTTGAACTAAAGTTAAGTGAACCAGGTAAGGGGAAAATCCTTACTGGGGAGATTCTCCAGGGCCTCTGGGGACAGACACACAGGTGTCTGACCCCAAGATCATAGGCATGCTGGGTGGCACAGTTGAGGAGACGTCTTACCTGACAGCCACACACAGAATGGCAAGTCCTATATTTAGGCTCATCCATCTGGAGGTCAAACTTTGAGACCAGAACTCATATCTAACATCCCGGGGGCAGGTGGTAAACCCACCTCAATGCCTTATCTGGGAATCCACAGGCTTCTTTTACAACAGATTTAAATTAAACTCTTTTGTTCCTTTAAACATAGGATTAAAGGCATGAGCCACCAACACCTGGCTGGTGACTGTGTGTGTGTGAGGCTGGGGGTGGCGGGGGGAGGGGGGGGTCGATTGGTCGTGGGGCTTGAACTCTGGGTGCTGGGTGCTGTCCCTCAGCTCTTCAGCTCAAGGCAAACAATCATTTGAGCCACAGCACCACTTCCAGTTTTCTGGTGGTTTATTGGAGATAAGAATCTCACGGACTTTCCTGCCCAGGCTGGCTTTGAACAGAGATGCTCAGATCTCAGCCCCCTGAGTAGCTAGGATTACAGGCGCGAGCCACCGGCGCCCAGCTCTGGGTAAACATTTTTTTAAAAGATTTTTATACATTAGTTGTACAAAGAGGATTTCATTGTGCCTCTTCCCTCCAACCACCCAACGCAGCCCATAGCCTGCCTCCATCCTGTCCCCTTCTTAAAACAATGGAAACTGGTCTCATTGTTCTACTTTCATACTGCATTGACGGTACTGAGATCATACCCACCCTTTTCTTCCTCTCCATTCACCTTCCTTTTAGCACATTGCTAATTCCTCTCTCTGGAAAACTCAGAACAAGTAGGCTCTCATTGGCCTCCATTTCCCCAGCCAAGTCTGAGTGAAAGAGCACCTCACCCACCCTTCCCTCAGCACCAGTGAGGTCCTTCTGGGCTGGAAGAGAGCGCCCCCTGGTGGCTCAGGCCCAGCAAGCTCAGCGCTGGGACCCTTCTTCCTTTGCTCCACTCACTCTCAGCCCCATCTGCTTTCAATTCACGAGGTTTAGGAGTCTTTCCTTTGGGTCTTTCACAGCCTCACTTTTCCATCCTGTAGCTGAAGGTGCTGCCCACTTATTTAGAAACCAGCTATGATGGGCCTGGGCTGATGGAGTGAGGGCTTCATAGAAAGCCAGGCTTTCCCTGGCTCCCAGCTACAAGGCTTCCTTGTATCTGGGGATGAAGCTCTAAGAACTCCTGAAGCCCTGCATTGAAAGCTTGTGCCTGTAATTCTAGCTACATAGGAGGCTGAGATCTGAGGATCAAGGTTCAGAGACAGCCCAGGCAAGAAAGTCTGTGAAACTTGTACGTCCAATTAACCACCAAAAAGCCAGAGATGGAGCTGTGGCTCAAGTGGTAGAGCACTATCCTTGAGCAAAAGAAAGCTCAGGGACAGTGTCCAGGCCCTGGGACCAGCACAAAAAAACAATAATAACTTCTGGTTGGACATCTGGTTGTTCTACTTTGGGCACGAGCCCCAATTCTCCCAAAGACTCCTTTACTACCTCCAGCTGTTCCTGAATTGCCCTCTCCCCTCTCCTGGATTATGGTGATGTCTGAAGACTCTAGAAAGAAGGCCATTCCCCATCCTTCCACCAATTCCCACTTGTCCTTTGTGCCCGTAGTTTTGGATAGTGATGCTTAATGGAAAGGCTTTGGGGTGGACCTTGGTCAGACTTGGCTCCACCTACCCACCAGCTATGCTAGCCCTGCGCAAGTAGTAACCTAACCTCTCTGCATCTGTAAAGCTGAGAGAAAAAAAAAGTCACAGAGTTGTGATGGCTCAGTGAGATAATGGACAATCTCTGAGGTCCTGCCCTCTGCTGAGAACAAGGCTCAGGAAGCTCTCAGTAAAGCTTGTTAACTTTACTGTAGCCCCAAGAAAGGAAGGCCAAACAGTAAGGAGAGCAGAAGCAAAGGGCTCTGGTGACCGATCAACTGGGGTATTTGCCTACCAACCAGCTGCCCAGCCAACCACTCAGCCATCTATTCATTCACCCTCCCAATTACCCATTCTCTCATCTACCCACCCATCTACCTAAACCCCACGGGTCCTCCCACCCACTCACCCACTTATCCAGCCATCCGTCCAACCCAGTACGCTCTTCTGCTTCCCTTATTGGACCTTCCATCAAAGAGTCTCTGAGCGTTTGTCACAAACCGAACACTCTTGCAGGCCTCTGATGGTCCTGGTGTTGAGTAAATCAAACAAGCCGATGCTCTCCCGGAGCTTATGTTCCATCCAAGGGACAGAAAATAAATAGTTGAATAAGCAAACTGTAATAGTAAGGCCTACAAAATGCAGCGATGTCAGGCAGTGTTTAGTGGGAGGCCACTGTCATGTGAGTGATCCGGGAAGCTGTTGAGATGGCAGTGGTGTTGAAATCTGAATGAAGAGGGGGAACTGTGCGTGGGAAGGTAGGAAGGGGAGGGCTTCCAGTTACAGGTAGCGGAAGAACACTAGTGCAGGACTGACTCAGAAGGCTCAGTAGGGGCCAGATCACAAAAGGCTTGAAGAAGCCAGGTGACTCATGCCTGTAAGCCTAGCGACTCAGGAGGCTGAGATCTGAGGATTGTAGTTCGAAGCCATCTAGGGCAGAAAAGTCCATGAGATTCTTATCTTCAATTAACCACTTAAAAACTGGAGGTGGTGCTCAAAGTGGTAGAGTGTTAGCCTTGAGCAAAAGAGTTTAGGGACAGCACCCAGGCCCTGAATTCAAATCCCATAACCAAAAAAAAAAAAAGCTTGAAGGAGTATGATTTCATCCTACAGGAGTTTTCTTTGTTTATAAAACAAACTCAAAGCCTTCCACATCCAAATATTTATTGCCAAAATTTAAGAAATACAATAATATATGAAGAAAAACATTCCCCTCTCTTTCATCTTACGCTCAACTGTTGACACCATGAATCTTTGCAGAGGTTTTATTCTGTACTTAGCAATCTACACATCTGCAAATGTACACATACACACAGGGACATACTATTCCTTCAAAAATGGAATTGACATCTCATGCTGCTCTGCTGTTCGCTATTTTTTACTTTGACTGTAGACATCCGATAAATGTGCTATGAAATAGAGACCTTGGGTATTATTCATTCACAGCTTTGGTTTTGATGAAGGCCTTCCAGGGGGTGAGCAGAGATGAATCAGCTCCATTTTCAGTTTGAGATATGGTCTGTTCACATGTACAGTGAAAGGGAATTTGACTAGTAACTCAGAACCTACACATGCTCGGGTGAATATTCCTGTCAGCTGAGCCACATGGTGTCCTTTGGTTACCTGTACTTTCTTGTCCCAGTTTCTGAGGGTCACTGTTAAAAGACAGCCGGGCACTGGTGGTTCGAAGCCAGCCCAGGCAGGAAACTCTTTTTTTTTTTTTTGTCGGTCGTGGGGCTTGAACTCTGGGCCTGGGCGGTGTCCCTCAGTTCTTCAGCTCAAGGCTAGCGCTCTACCACTTGAGCTACAGCGCCACTTCCGGTTTTCTGGTGGTTTATTAGAGATAGGAGTCTCACAGTCTTTCCTGCCCGGGCTGGCTTTGAACCACGATCCTCAGATCTCAGCCTCCTGAGTAGCTAGGATTACAGGCGTGAGCCACCGGCGCCCAGCTGAAGGCAGGAAACTCTTTATCTTCAATTAACTACCAGAAAGCTGGAAGTGGTGCTATGGCTCAAAGTAGTAGAGCACTAGCCTTGAGCAAAAAAGTTTAGGGACAGTGCCCAGGCCCTGAGTTCAAGCCCCAAGACCTGTAAAACAAAACAAAACAAAAACAGATTTCTGGGATTCATCCCCCTTCCTCATTGCTATCTGGAGTAACCATGCCTGATATTTAACCCCTCAGTGTCATAATTTCCTCATAACAATGCCAAATAC